CACAAGTGTGGCTGTTTGTTTGGTATCTAACAGCTGGGGGTGGGTGGTTACACACGTTACATTTTTTATGGTGGCTGTTGGGATTAGGGGGAATGTGGGAGCGTGATTTGACAGCAGTAGCTGTAGGAGCAGACAGGGAGCCACAATGCAGTAGAAGGGAGGCCGAGCTTCTTTATTTCCCCACCACCCATCTGGAGCATGCATTCACATTGGTCCCTGACGCACAGAGGAACTCACATTCTGATATCCATACCAATTGCTTACGCACACTCAAAGCTTGCACCTCCAGCATTTTTGTATTATATGTAATTATTTTTATTGTATGTATTCTTTACTATATTTATGGCTTGAACTAAAAATGTATGTTATAAAACATTTTTCAATGTTTCTTTTTTGTCCGATAATTGGAAAATATTGCTTTGTTTGCCTATTGCAAGTGGAGCTTTATGTAAGAGCACCAGCTTTCTGAAAGCTCAGACAACAGCTGCTGCTGTTAAGTAGATCTAAATAGAAGGGAGATCAGATTACACACACTGTTAAATAACTAACAGAGCACACGCACCTCCTCTTGCATCATAAAGGTGTTGCATCTGGTGAACCATCTCACTGGTTTAATTTGCACACAGGTTGCTTCTAGGCAATGCTAGGCTTATTTAATAGAATACCCAGCATACTTTGTGAATTTGTTATCACTGATTCTGTACTTAACATGTTATTTGAAAAATAATGATTTCATATAAATAAGGTAGTGATATAAAACTGCTTTTTTATGTAATTTTAAAAAAAATGACAAAACACATGACTAAAAAGCATTGTTTTGTGTCCGGAAGTAGAGATCTAAAATAGACCTAAGTAATAGTGAATACACACACTGGTAAATAACAGCGTACACATACACCTCCCCACTCTGTGTCCAAACAGTTGAATCTGGCGGGCATCTCTTACCAATATCAATGCACATAGATTCATTCTATCCATGCAGGTAGTGCCAGGCTTTCTTATTAAAAATCTAAGCATGTTTTGTGAATTATCTTTGATGTTGTGTTTAATACTTTATACACTCACTGGCCACTTTTAGGTACACCTTGCTAGTGCCAAGAAAATATCCCCCACACCATTACACCACCAGCCTGAACTGTTGACACAAGGCAGGATGGATCCATGCTTTCATGTTGTTTACGGTAAATGCTGACCCTACCATCTGAATATCGCAGCAACCAGTCTGCCCATTCTCCTCTGACATCAACAACACATTTTTGTCCACACAGCTACCGCTCACTGGATATTTCCTCTTTTTTGCACCATTCTCTGTAAACCCTAGAGATGGTTGTGTGTGAAAATCCCAGTAGATCAGCAGTTTTTTAAATACTCCGACCAGCCTGTCTGGCACCAACAACCATGCCACGTTCAAAGTCCCTTAAATTGCCTTTGTTCCCTATTCTAATGCTCGGTTTGAACCTCATCAAGTTGTCTACACCACGTCTAGATGCCTAAATGCATTAAAGCAGAGCTCCACCCAAAAGGTGAAGTTTCACTTTACGTTTTTTTTTTTCCCTTGTTCCCCATTAAGGATTGGTACTTTTGGGGAGCTGGTACCCGAATTTGACAGGTACCCGCTCCCACTTCTGTTGCGATAGCCTAGGCGATCAGAAACGGAAGTTGTCCTCCCTCCCTGTAGTCTTCTGGGACATGTGACAAGTCCCAGAAGACTATGGAGTCATTCACAAAGCGCAGCACTTCTCGCGCATGCGCAGTGGGCACCCGGGTGTGAAGCCGCAAGCTATCACAGCCGGGTGCCCACATTGAAGATGCCAGCGCCAGGGAGAGAAGACGGCGGTGAAACCAGCAGTGGTGAAGACACCGCTGGACCGAGAGATAGGTAAGTGTCTGTATTTTCAAAGTCAGCAGCTACAGTTTTTGTAGCTTCTGACTGTTTAAAGAAAAAATTTTCAGGTGGAACTCCGCTTTAAGTTGCTGCCATGTGATTATCTTATTAGCAATTTGTGTTACCAAGCAATTGAACAGGTGTATCTAATAAAGTGGCCGTTAAGTGTATGTAAAAAAAAAAAAAAAAGATTTCATATACATAAAACAACAATTAAAAAAAACCCCTGCGGTTTATGATCATATAATCATTAAAATAAAAAAAAAAAGAAATGCAGATAAGGAGCACTCCATTTCTTTGCGCTATTTATAGGCCAATTTCTCTTCTGTTTTAAAGACCTTCATCCAACTCCTTTCTGTCTGTTTGAATACAGTATTGCCCTCCTTAATAAAGACCAAGTGGGCTTTGTCCTGTTTCATCAGGCGGGAGACAAGGTCTGTCAAGTGATCAACCTGACTGATGTAGCTAATAGGGTTAAACAGGAAGCCCTTCTGCTAAGCTTAGCCGCTGAAAAATCTTTTGATCACCTCAGCTGGCCTTTCCTCTTTGAGACCCTTATTCCGTGCAATCTCCCACTTGTACTCCAACCCCACGGCACAGGTCAAAACTACAAACACTACTGCTCAGCCATTCTCTGTTTGGAATAGGACGAGATAGGGCTGCCCCATATTATATATTATATTCTGTTTTTATTATTATTATTATTATACAGGATTTATATAGCGCCAACAGTTTGCTCAGCGCTTTACAATATAACAGGAGACAATACAGTAATACAGTTCAATACAAGAGGGATAGGAGGGCCTGATCCTTGGAGCATTTGTGTTATGGCATCCCGGTTAGGGGAAAATAATTTAAACAACCTCTCTTCGTGGATAGCATTTTGCTTACAATAACACAGCCCCTCATAACCCTCCCTAACTTACTATACATAAAAAATAGACCTTATTATGGGGTGCTTTCAGGATATAAATTGACCCAACTAAATCAGAGGCCCTCCCGATTAATATCCCCCAAGATACAGTATCGTGCCTTTCCTTCAGTTTCTCTAACACTTGGAGGTTAACTTCCTCGAAATATTTGGGAGTCTGCTTTACACCAATGTATGACACCTTATATAAAGAAAATTATCTCCCACTGTTTAGAACAATCAGGACAACCCTAATCCAATAGAACAATCAGGACTACCCTAATCCAATGGAAATCTTATCACGTTTCTGTCTTGGGTAGTACGGCCTCCATCAAGATGGCCATCCTCCCGAAGTTTTTATACCTTTTTAGATTCTGCCGATCCCAGTCCCTACGCCACACCTCACCCGAACAATTTATTATGGAATCCAAAGGTACCTATGATTCCTAATAGGCTCTTGTCCTCCATGTCCTTTCTCTTCAAAATTTGGAAAGCTTTGGCACGTGTGTATATATATTCAAGTTTGAAGCATCTCTAATGACCGCCTTCTTGTTCAATCTCGAAGTGCCTGATAGTCTGACCACTTCCATGTCACATCCATGGTATCGGGGAAAAATTGTTCCAATTCCATCAGTTTGACTACTTTTCTATCCCACCATTCAGGAAAGAAACCATCTACCAAATACCGCATTATATGGCTATATGCAAATCAGACACTATACCCTATACATTACCCCAATGCTACAGTTTTCTAAACAAACTTCTTTTTAAAGATTAATGGCTGAAGGTCCCTCCTGTAAAGGCCTAATCTCTGATATTCACAAAATTCCAAACGCATATTCTTTTGTAAAGCGATGTAAACACACATATGCTCAAGTGGGAGAAGGCCGTGAGTTCTGTATGCACCCTTTACAAGGAAAATTCATACAAACTGCTGTACTTGCATATAATGCACCCTGAAGTCACTGACCTATGTTGGAAACACCAAGGGCTCCCTCGTACTAAACCTATTGGAAATCGATATACCGATTTGATACAATTCCTTTTTGATTCTGCTGTCCTGTTCACCCCTACACCATTTCTGCTTAGCTTTCCTCCTCCTCCTCACCTGTCTAAACTGGGCAAGAAACTTCTGAGGAATATCTTTACCGCAGCAAGATGCTTAATAGCTCTTCAATGGAAACAACCAAACCAAAGTATATAGCAGGGCTATATGCTAGGATTAAGAATGCTGAGCTCATGGAATTATTAACTGCCTGCCTAAACAACATTTTAGACAAGCGCTACAAAGTATTGAAACTGGCTTGAGTCTGCTGATTCACTGTAGTGGGCCGGTGGTGGTTTTTACCTAGCAGGATGTGCAGCCCGGGTGTGGGAATCAAGCGATGGTGTGATTTGGGCCGACTATATCCTCATTCTCTTTTTCTATACTATTCTTTTTTTCTTAATCCTCCTTTTCTTTTCTCTTTTTCTGCCCTTTTCCCCATTTCTCCCATACCCGAGCTTACTGTTGTCTTTGGCTCGGCTGGCATAGTACTAGCTACAGCATTGAATTCGGTACCATTAGCTGAAAAAGCATAATCAACCATGAGAATGTGGCCAGAATGATGCGAGGTTTTACAAAAAGATCACTACTCTTGTTTTCTTTAGCCACTAGGATGCCCCACCTGTGGTTATGCTGATAATGATTTATTTTTTTTCTTTCCTCTGTACTGATTCTGAAATGTCATATGTTGGTAGTCATGCACCTGACTGTGAAATTCTTGACACTTTGTATGCATTGTCACATTTCCCAATGTCTGATACAAATATGCTATACTATTCCTTTTTTACTATGTGCTGTTAATTTAATAAAACTGTTAATTATATTAAAAAAAAATTACAATAAACAACACCAAAAGGCATTATCATGTGTCTTATAGTTGAGGGTAGTTTTATCTATACAAACAAGGTATCTTTCTGTTTCCCTAAATTCTGTTTTCTCATTTACAGAACATTGAAAAGACATTAATAAAACCTACAGCTTTCAAGCCAGTGGTGCCGAAAAAGCGCAACTCCTCTCTGCAGTTTCTTGTCCAGAGAAATGGAGCAGCCAACTTATCTGACAGTCAGGGAAGCCTAAACCTCCTTTTTAATGGGACCTCAGGAGGGACGAGTGAGAAGCACAGCTCGTTCAGCTGCAGGAACAGTTCTGTCTCTGGGACTATGACTGACTCTGGAAGGAATTCTCTTTCCAGTCTTCCTACCTACAGCACGAACTGCAGCCACCAAATGGAGCCAGTCAGTATGTCTATGAGTCACATCAACCTGGATAATCACACGAACATGAATGTGTTTTCTGAGCGGACCTCCAGAGCCAGGACTCGTCCATCGAACTCTGATAGCGGCCGCTCATCCTCTAGTAAGAGCACAGGGTCATTAAGCAGAGGGGGCAACCAGTCATCAGATAGTGGGTCTTGTGACCGGTCTCCGATTAATGAAGAGATTCTCATCAGAGAGCTGGAGGAGAAGCTAAAGGACCGAGAACTGGAACTGCAGCATCTGAAGGAGAATCTGGATGAAAACGAAGCTGCAATTTGCCAGGCAAGATTATAAATCTTTACTGTTTTGGAGAATTGTGACCAATATTGGTGTCAAATTTTGGATTGCTGAGTTTTGGTCTAAATATTATTCTCTTATATAGGCAGAAGTTCTGTATATAGACAATAAGAAACTTGTTTAAGTGGACCTATAGTGAAATATCAATACAGCTTTGTTTCAATATTCAGCCAACATTACTGAAGTTCTCAAAAGAGAATCTTGAAGTATATCCAAAATATCCACTTTTTTTATTAGAGTAGGGAATGGTTTAAAAACTTTTTTTTTTTCCCCCAGTCTCTGTGCCCTATTAGGAAGAATTATCTTTGTTCCCTGTCCCATAGACCCAAGAAGAAGTTTGATGTTTCTCTAGAATAAGGAAATTTCCCTTTTGAACAGGTGTTACCAGAAAGTGTCCCCATTGGAAAATTTCCCTTTTACTTCTTTTCCAGTGACCTGTTACAATTTTAAATTTTTTCCTCATTTTCAGTCCTGGTGATAGTGGGTAATATAGAGTGTGAATCTTACTTTTTGGGGCTCAGACAACAATAAAAGCCTGACAGAAGTCACTGTAATCTTCTGGTGTGGTGGGGTTAATACAACTAATGGGCTGTCACCAGCTCCCATCATGAGAGCATAGCTATGCCCACCCTTTCTGCCCAGATCCACAATTCATAGAAGCTGTACTACAACTCGTATGAATGAAACCGGATCAAGAATGGAGGGGGCAGGAAATTGAGGGGAGCTGTCAATCATCCACCCATACCCCATGCATAGATCACATTCCATTCATGGAAGCTGTAGCACAGCTTCTTTGGATGGTGGATCCGGGCAGAAGGTGTGGGCATAGCCAGGTTCACTTGATGGGAGCCTGTGACAGCTACTTAATTCTAATAACCTCCACCACATCAGAAGATAATGGCTGCTGGGGTGGTAGGATGGACAGAGGAAGCTTTTCACTAACAGCAGAAGAATCAGTACAAGGGACACATCTTGCTGTCCAGTGTGCTGATTTTTCTGTATGTGATACGCAAGTCAGTGTACACATAGCATGTCTCTTCTGCATAAAAAAGAATCTGCCTGCTCGCAATGTTTTTGGTTTAGGTAGGTTTAGTTTTTTATCCCTTGAAATATTACTGCATTTTGTTATGTTGCATGTCAGTTGTTTAATATGTTGGAATGTTAAAAGTTAGCTGGTGTTTATAGAGTGATGTGTTCAATAGTCCGAAATTCACTTGTATTGCTGCAGGGATATTCTTTGTGTGTGGATTAGATCATGCTTCACACAGTGGAGAAAGTGTGCTACAGCATTCAAGAAATTGCTGCCAATACAAAGCTAGAAACTAATTACTAAAATCGTTTAGTAAACTACTAGTGCTCTGCAGAAAAAAAATCCTGATTGTAAAATAGTGTTGTTTTACCTTTAATGAGAGATGATGTCATGTTGGCCATGTTAGGGCAGTGACAATGCTGATACCCCACCCCCCACTCCAAGTTATACTTGTCAACCCACGTTCCTCTGCCACCTCCCCACTCCAGGGGAGTCCTCAATCCATTTGCTGCAGCTGGTCATCAAGGGGAGAAGGAATGTGACCTCCTCCATAAGACAGTGCTCAGTCCTCATTCACCAGGAGGCATGAACTCTGCCACGCTGTGGGGACAGTGGCATTATCCACCCAGGTAATCTCTGACACCAGATCTTTCCAGGGGTGAACGTCTGCCATGAGAATATGACTAGTGGGCATGAATCAATGGGTAGGCCTTGCTGCAGGGAATTTTGGACATCAGCAGACACTGGTAAAGTTTTGCCATACTAGTAGAATTTCATTTGAAATGTTTTGGTTCATTCAATTTTCTAATCGCTAGTTGGGTCAAATCGATGTTTATTTTCTACCACAGTGACAAGAACATTTGAAGGAGCAGGATAGAAGTTTTTTTTTTCAAACAAATTAATTTCTAGAAGTGAATCTGGCTTGTATTCGGTAGATCCATTAATTCCAAAAATTAGAAGCAAACAAAATTACCGGTAGTTAAAAAAAAGATTGTAGATCGTAAAAAAAAAAAAAAGTACTTTCACATGACATTTGAATTTCCATACAAATTTGTATACAAATATAATTCAGAATTTAACTAGTATATGACCACCTTTGGAAAAGTCAGACATTATGCATTTTTTTTTCTGGTACCAAAAAACCTTTATTGAAAGTTGTTTTTGTACAAAAGTAGGTCAATAGAGCGCAACTTTAAACTGTAACACAGAGATCGCAAATGAAACGGGTTCATCTAGTATAAAATAACAGTATGGGCCCATGCAGGGGCCGTTGTGGCAGTAATAACAGTATGTCATGCAGAAAGAGATCACAATCCATATGATAACACAGTAATAACCAACGATTATATTGGTACATCTCTAAAGAAGGATCATGCAACCTGGTTCCCCATAAAGTATGATCATGTACAGTACAGTAATAATGTTGAAAAGTGGGACCTAAAAATTGTGGATGTGAGAATGTAAATGTAGAGTAGCGCCCCCCCTAAAAAAATAAAGTTAGACAACCAGAGGAGCTGGCTTGCAGAAATAAAAGAAGGTGAAGAGCTAATATGTCCTGGAGAGTAGCCATTCAGTCCCCACCGATAAGAAGGATTGGGAATGAAGACATGGCCTGGGATCTTCTAATGATGGCTTGTTCTGTCTTGGGTCCTGAATCTGGAGATGTACGGAGCTGTTGGGGGATAGCAGTCAGCTCAGGGAGGATTGTGAGGCCTGTGTCGATTGTAGAAAGAAAACCCTGATCTGCGAGGCTTTTTCTCAATTCCTCCGAGTTTGTGGCATCATATTGGGTCCCGTGAAATGTAAAAGACAACTTAAAGGGGAACTCCCAGCTAAAACGGATGGCTCTCTACTGTATTACCTGAAGAAGAGGTCTCATCACGCTCCTCTTCAATATGGTGGTATTTGAGAGGTCTTCATAGGCTTGATATGGGTGACCCTGGACGGAGAGTCTGGTGGATTCATGAGCAGCCCACATTACCTGAGCCTTCGTACGGTAGTAATGGAACTTGAGCACTACATCTTGCAGGTGAGGGCTTTGTGGACCCTGTCTATCTCCAATCATTCCACAGGGACCTCAGGTATCAGTTCTTGGAGTAGGGATAGCACTGAGCCTTGAAGATCTGTTATGGACTCCGAGAGGCCTCTGATCCTGATGTTACTGCGGCGGGCTTGGTTTTCTGTGTCCTCTAGCTGATTCCTTAGCTGATGGAGTTCAGCCTAGATCTGCTCAATGTCGTTTTCGTGCCCATCAAACACTGTTGTGGAATCATTGATGACGAGTGATGAGTAATACATATATATATATATATATATATATATATATATTATGTAAAGCGCTGAGCAAACTGTCAGCGCTATATAAGTCCTGTATAATAATAATAATAATAATCATCCATTCTATGCTTCAAGAAAGATGCCCATTCACCCACCTCACTTACCTCAGGAGCTCGCTGGTGATTTTGCGGGAGACCTCCAACAGCTTCTTCAGACAATGCCGCAGGAATTATTCAGAAATTCATCAGGGTCTGAATAGGCTCGTTGCAAATTTCGTGGCGGGTGGGGAAAGGTTGATTGCTGCTGCGGGAAGCGAATTCGTGTTTGGAGTGTGCGGAGCTAGCTTAAGAGTTGGCCATCTTGGACTGCCTCGCGCATGCGGCCCGCCTTAAATCACTTCCACTGAGCTGTTGTAGCGCGGTAGTGGAGCCTTCCCCTTCATCAGAATACACTGACCAATTTCTCCAGCTATAGTTGGGGGGGGGCACTAATTGTTCAAGGAAATACCTGACAGGTTGGTTGTACACAAGTCGATTGATAGATCATCTTATTTACAGCCAGCTTTGTCCATACATGTATCAATTGTGTCTGGTCCCTACTGAACTGTGAACCGGCCAAACTTTGATCCATATATGGCCAACTTTACTCTGCCCTGATTAAGCAAAATCACAGTGCCACTTTCTGTGAATCTGACAGGAGGGAAGTGAGAACTATGCTATTGTTATTTTTTAAGGGGCACACTTGGGTCTGTCATTATTCTTCTTCCTTCACTACTTTAGCAAATTACTGACTTAGAAAGTGCATGTTCTTTTTAAGAGCCCTAACATTTCACTGAATACATGCAAGATCCAGTTTAGAGACTCACCCAGCAGGAAGACGAGAGGTAACAGCCTCAACTTCAAAAACAAGTCAGCAATAGCAGGACCCTTTATTCTTGACTGGTCCCTTTTTTATTTGATTTTTATGTAACTGTTACTTTTGAACTGTACTAAACTTTCCGAAGTCCTTTGGGTTGGAATGCAGGCTCCTGGTGGCCATTCTTGCCTAAGCAACCTCCTTCTGAGCCTCCATCACTACAGTCTACTTAAAGCATTGTTTGGAGGAAATATGTCTTTTTGAGTTTGCATAATTAGAATGGACAGCCTTGGCATGTGTATAATTATAATGTGTGCAGAGAGAGGTGGAGTTAGCTCTGCCTGACCCACAGAATCACAGACTCTGGGTTACTTGTTCTCAGAACAGGTTCCTGACAACAACAGCTGTACATCCTGGTGTATCCAAGCAATGGCAGAATTAAAAAAACAAAACCCACAAGCAGGTATGCAGACTCCCCTGCTAAATCAGTGCAACGGAGCGACCCTTTAAATGACTAGTCTTTTTCATGAATTATATGTTCCTAGTAAACCTGGCAACATCTTTTAAGTTGCAATGATTTGGCAGTATTGTAATAGTAATATGATAACAGAAGCTACATTTTAGAAATGGCTGGAAACAGGTTGATGTATATGGTTTCTCTCTACAGGTCTATGAAAGAAAAACAGAAGCGTTTTGAGCAGGAGATGGAAGACCTGCGTCAGAGCTGTGCCCTTAAAATGAAGCAGGCTTCCCAGAAGGCGCAGAGGATGCAACAGGTTCTACAACTGCAAATCTTTCAACTGCAGCAGGAAAAAAAGAAGCTGCAGGAGGACTTTTCCCAGCTTCTGCAGGAGAGGGAGCTCCTGGAGAAACGCTGTGCCTCATTTGAGAGGGAACAAACGGAGCTTGGTCCACGACTAGAGGAGACTAAGTGGGAGGTATGTTAAAAAGATGATCCATTCAAGAAATAGATAAAGCTGTTTCAGTTTTGTAAATTAAGGGTCCGTGGATGAGCTGCGTTTATATATAAGCATGGCATTGATATTTGTGAACTGGTTTTACTGCATTGCACTATGACGTGATGTGAAGAGTATGTTCACAGCAAACCTACACTACAGCACGTTGCAGAGCACCCCCACCCAGGACATAGGTTGGGGTGCACTGTGCTGAAAAAAAAAACATGGGACCTGTAAGTTACATGATTAAATCTGCAAGACTATTTAAATGTATTCCCAGAGCCATTGTATGGATTATGAGCTTCAATAAAGAAAGGACAAATATGAATAGTCCAGTATTTCCCTGTAAAGTGCTGACTTAACATAAATAAATGAATGTTATTTTATCTGGCAAGAGCAAACATAAACACTGGAGTGAATATGCAGCATACAGAGCCCAAGTGGAAACTGAGAATTGTTCCTTCTGTTACATAAGAGACTTCTACATGAAAAACTCAGAATGAACAGGAAGCTTGTAATGTGCCAACTCCAATAAAGGCCAACTCCTGTCAAATCTTTTTATTTAATTTTGAATATAACAGGGAAGGATTAGAAATTCTGTGAGGTTTTTGACATCTGTGTCTCTAGTGTCCAGAATAGGAAGGGATGAGAAGTCTCAACATGGACACAAAATAAAACATTTTTGTAGAGCAAGTCACTGTTCACACCACTGCGATTTAAAATCACACGATTTTGTGTGCAATTTCAGGTGTGATTTCTGAAGACTTGTGAAGATTTTCAACTATTTCTTGCGATTTGCTTTGCGATTTCCATTATATTTTATGTATGTGAAATCGCAATAAACTGCAGAAAAAAGTAATGCAAGAACTACTTTAGAAATTATACATGTTAAGACACTGACATTCACTATATGCAATTTCAGTTTGCAAATCGCACCGGTATGACCGGGCAGTAAAGCTTGGTATGCACCCTGTGATTCAAACAGTGGGCTGAACGCAAAAAAAAAAAAAACCTCTAAGATTCGCCCCTGATGTGCTATTGTATTCTGACAGCAGGAAAAAGAGAGTGCTACACATCGGGTAATATTTACTAAAATTGGAGAATGCTAATCTGCAAAACTCTGCATAGAATCCAATCAGCTTCCAGGTTTTATTGTCAAAGCTTAATTGAACAGGCTGAGGCTGAGGTTAAAAGCTGATTGGCTACCATGCACAGCTGCACCAGATTCTGAGTGACACAAGTTTTAGTAAATGTCCCTATTGATCAAAATTAATCCGGTTTCTGCTGAACCGGCTGAATATTGATACGTTTGTACCCAGTTTAAGACAGAGTAAAGTTAGAGATTTTGGCATTCTTTTTATTGTGGTCTATGCCTTGTACAGTGGGATGGCAATGCTGCCTGGTGGGTTTGACCCCATGGTTAGCGTTGTCACCTATTAACTGAAAGAGACAGATGTTGGCAGAGTGAACAGGTATTTATAAATGCTTACCAACTAAAAGAAAAATAAAAGAGCTTTCAAAGGAAAAACGAACACGTAGGAAAAATAATAAAGGGGAAGTCAAATATTTTTTTTTTGGGTTTACAAACACATTAAGTAAACCACACATCCGTGACATCATTGTTGATCCCTAGCATTTTTTCTGTAGAATAATTCCCCTAGAATGTTTTTGCAGTTTGTCTAATGAACAGCAGAAATAATTTTTGGTGTATGACTTTCCTCCTAGGTTTGTCAGAAATCTGGCGAAATATCTCTTCTTAAACAACAGCTGAAGGATTCCCAGGCTGAGTTAGGTCAGAAATCCAATGAAATATTACTGCTTCGTTCCCAGCTGAGAGAAACTCGATCTGAGCTCCAGGTCAGTGAAGAACAAGTGCAAGAGCTGCAGGACACGTCACATACAAAGACGCTGGAGCTAGAGGTGTGCGAGAACGAGCTACAACGCAAAAAGAATGAAGCTGAACTGCTGCGGGAGAAGGCCAGTAAGCTGGACCAAGAGGTAACAAGCCTCAGGGAGGCGGCCATAGCCAACCTTCGACATGGGCTTTGCCATTGCCAGGAGAAAGAAGATTCATTCTTGGTTTATGAAAGCGATGAGGCCAAAGCACAACGGCAAAATGCGGACAACCTGCAGGGCTTAAAACAGTACATGGAACGGCTCAGGGAGGCATTGGTGAGCGAACGCAGGAGAAACCAAGAACAAATAGAAAGCTTCGAGGAAGAGCGGCGCATATGGCACGAGGAAAAGGAGAAGGTGATCCGATATCAAAAGCAGTTACAACACAACTACATTCAGATGTACCAACAGAACCGCGAGCTAGAGAGGGACATTAAACAGTTGTCACTAGAACTCGAGGCAAGGGAGCTCGATGAATTTGACTTACACGGTGCAGAAATTCAGTTTGAGGAAATCACAGCCACAGAAATTTAATGCCAATAACACACCGCAAATGCCTTTTCCTTGGACCTCTGGTTGATGTTGCCAAAAAAGCAACTTATCCTTGGAAGTTGTTGGAACTATTGTGTAAAATGAACTTGCTTTTATACTCACAGGACAATAGAAACAGTTGACAGTAATGGCATTGTGTTACAAGTTTCGTAAAGGCAGATGTGAGATAAATCCTAATATCAGTCTAAGAAGCCATACACATACACTCATGTACACACGCATGTTATACTAGGCATGGCTAAAGGACCAAAGCAATGTCATTGGACAATGCATACAGAAAAGGCACCTTTCTGTGTTGCAATATTCCTTCCGTTCTCAGGACAACCATATTGTCTCCTAAACGTCAAATTTCACAGCAGAAGAGGATTCTGAATAGTGACCTAAAAAGTGCTTCCATAGGACAAGAAACTCCTAGTTTTTGCTTTGAGAACACCTTAGACCTGTTCTAGCGCTCTCTTTATTTTGTTGCTATTAATGATAGCCTAGCCATATTTTGAATGTTATATGTCACATGTAACTGCCACCATTTTGTCTGTGGTCACACATAATGCAGAGACTTCTTTTATGTATGTGTTGTCTTGTAAATAATGTAAAATAAGAGTTTTTGTTTCCCAAAGCAAAATAACTGGTTTTGTACAAATGATGACTAGCACCTTCTCTCTCTGTTTGACAAGCATAGCCGCTTTCAATCTCAGGTAGGCAACTTGCTAGAGCACAATCATAACGTAAACGTCAAATAACACCGTATGCAATAAAAAAAAAGACTGTTTGTTCTCTTCTTTGTAAGCGAGATGACAAGTTAATGATGAGCCTCCCTGAAATAAAGAGAATTAGATTATGTTATACAGGCTTTTGGGGTCCCACTCTTATGCTAATAACCTCATGTAATTGCAATAGCATTTTATGTATGCTGAAAAAATGAATTCTGTAACACATAAGTACCCTATATGGTTAAGAGATTGTGGACAATGTGATCATCACACATATATAAGCTTATTGGACATGCCATTTCAAAACCATGGGCAGTAGCCAGGAGTTACCTTCCTCCTTTGCAGCTATAGCAGCCTACACTCTTCTTAGAAAGGATTCCCAGATCATTTTGATGGGTGTCAATGAAAAAATTTCTGGCTATTTTGCCAAATGAGCATTTGAGAATTCAGCTGCTGAAGTAAAATAAGAAGGTCTGACTTACAACTGGCATTCTAATTCACCCCAGTGCCGTTCAGTAGAGTTGAGGTCAGGCTATGCAGGCCACTAGAGTTCATTCATACCAAATTTCATCAAACCATATCCTTAGGGAGCTGGGCTTTTGCACTGCAGAAACAAAAAATGTGTGTTCCCACAAGGTTGGAAGTACCCAATTTTCTAAAATGTCTTTGTGTGCTGTAATGTTAGAAGCACTCTTGACAGGAAACACCTGAACTTTTGGGGGGCGTGCGCGTGTTTTGAAGCATAAAGTGTAGGTATGATGGTCAGGTTTCCACAAACCTTTGGCCATATAATATATTTGGACATTATTGCTTACATTCCCTTAACTGATATGAAATGGCTAAATACTTTCAAAAGTCAGGCAAGTGTTTAAATACACAGTTGAAAGAAAACTTGGCTGCACAGCTCATGAGCAGGTAGTAGTACTGGTATACTAGTATTGGTATAAGGGGACTGGTTAGGGAACTTGGCATCATTGTGGGCAACACTGTTGCATTCTTTCCCTGACATGGCCACATTTGTGCTCTCCACGCTACATTTTAGGTAAAACACTAAGGGAATGTGACTTTCACTAAATATTCTCTGTTGAATAATCAATCACTGTCATTTAAAACACATGGACCTGAAAGATTCCTCACCAAGTAATGTTTGGTGAAAAGTCACATTCATTGCTTTATAATGGTATAATGGACTCTTAATGGTATTTGCACACTGACAGCTGTACTGTGTTTACATTGCATTGTGTCTGGGCACACATTTTGTGGTTCATTTTAGAGACAAGGTCTATTATAGTTGTGATTGTACTGTAGAATACACTGCTCAAAAAACTGAACACTTTAAAAACACATCAGATCTCAATGTTGAAAAATATGCTGAATATCTATACTGATATGGATTGGGTAATGTGTTGGGGATATAAGGATGCCCCATCGTTTGAAGGAAATGAAAATTATCAACCTACAGAGGACTGAATTCAAAGACACCCCAAAAATTAAAGTGAAAAAATGATGCAGCAGGCTAGTCCATTTTGCTGAAATTTCAATGCAGCAACTCAAAATGGTACTTGGTAGTTTGTATGGCCCCCATTTGCTTGTATGCATGCCTGACAACATCAGCATGCTCCTAATTAGACGACGGATGGTGTCCTGGGGTATTTCCTCCCAGATCTGGACCAGGGCATCACTGACCTCTGGTCAGACTGAGGTGCAACCTGTCGGCATCGGATGGACCGAAACATGATATCCCAGAGGTGTTCTATTGGATTTAGGTCAGGCGAGGGTGGGGGCCATTACAATTCCTTCTTTCTCCAGGAACTGCCTGCATACTCGCCACAGGGGGCCAGGCACTGTCATGCACCAGAAGGAACCCAGGACCCACTGCACCAGTGTAGGGTCTGACAATGGGTCCAAGGATTTCATCCCGATACCTAATGGCAATCGGGGTGCCATTGTCTAGCCTGTAGAGGTCTGCGCATCCCTCCATGGATATGCCTAACCAGACCATCGCTTCTCCAGACCCTTTTGTGTCTCTCACATGTGCTCAGGGTGAACCTGCTCTCAGACCCTAGTCAAATGCAAAACTAGTGAAAAAACAGTCAGAAAAGATGAGTAGGGAAATAAATGTCAGTGGCCTCCACCTGTAAAGCCATTCATCTTTTCGGGGTCGTCTCATTGTTGCCCATCTAGTGCACCTGTTGTTAGTTAACACCACAGCAGCTGAAACTTATTAACAACCCCCTCTGCTACTTAACTGACCAAATCAATATCCCAGGAGTTTAATCGGCTTGATGCTATACTCTGATTAAAACGTGTTCTTTTAATTTTTTTGAGCAGTGTACGTACTACTACATTTCCCAGCTTTAGTCCTCAAGGACCACTAGTGGGTTACCTTTTTCCTAAGCTTGAAGGCATTTTCAAAGCTGTTTTTTGAGCATTTTGGCCCCCCCCCCCCCCTTTTTTTTTTACACTTCAAATTAAGTACAATGTGTTTGTTACACAACACACACACCGCATGTGTGTGTCAAAGTGTAGACATGCTAAATATTTACACATTGCACACAAACACATATGTATGGTGTAAAAAGGACACACAGAAAAAATAGTTTTCTATGTGCCCTTGCATTGAGCCTGTGTAGATGCAATGCTGACCAACACAGCTCAATGCACTTGACATGAGTGAGCCCTAAGAGAAGCACAATGATTATTTTTACTATTTGTATCAAAAGACAATTACATAATACAGTTTTGTGTACATGAAAATGTATGCTGAGCCTCTTTCATACGGGTTGGAATCAGTTTGGATCAGCAGAGGACCTGCCCACATATCTCCTGCTGATTGGCAGGTGACAGGTCCGTGTCGCCCAGTTTCTGCAGGGCGGACATGGACAGAGCCCGCTCCGCTCTATGGGTAGCTGAGTGTAAACGGACTGTCTTTCAATCCACCTAAGTGGAAGTAGATACCCTTCCCCCCCCCCCCCCCCCCCCTTTTTTTTTTTTTTTTTTTGCCCAGCAGACTGGATCGGACCTGGATCTTTGAATGGACACAAGTCTGTTTACACTGACCTGTCCATAGTGATGAATGGACCTTCTGAGAAGGTCATCCTGAAAAACTGACAGGCGGGCCTGATTTAAACAGTCGTGTGAAAGGGGTTTAAACCCTAAATAGTGTTTTGGGGTTTTTTTTTGTACATTTGGCATTTGTAATTTAGTTTTTTATGAATCTTTTGTTGGCTGCTGGATGTCTGATGATACTGCTGCTAATTATGAGGCTAGGCTTAGCATTGTCAGCTTGCAACTAGAAGTGCTATTACTGGCAGGATCTCCAGATAAGGAACTTTGCAGTAGATTTACAAAAAATGATTATCATGCAAAAACTGTCTACAATGAGACATAATGGCAAACATGCTAAAAATTAAATTTTGGATTTACGTACACAGAAATGAACCAGTCAGTCACAGATGGAATGCAGACACGGTCTAGTTATCATGCACATACCCTTAAAAAGTAACTCCACCCAAAGGGATACGCGTTAGATCAGTTTTTATTGTCCTCTGTGACCTTTTTGGGAATATTTCCTCTCACTTTCAGTTCCGATTATAAAGTTGTCACTATTACAAGAAGTGAAGAGAAATCTTCATTGGAGACAAACCACAAAAAAATGGCTAATTAAAATTCAAGCCTTTCACTGCTATCTTAAAGGAAGAAAAGGTTTATGTTGCCATTTTGTCCTTGTTAAAGGTTCCTTTCCACTTTCTACACTGGTAACAAAATCATTGCATCATTGGAGCAAGAAGTACGAATAATCACCCCAAGAAGGCCACAGATGTCAGTACACATTTGATAGGGGTTCTAGCCCTTACTCGCTTTTATGGAAAGCTTTAAAAACATTTTAAGCCACATTATAGACGTTAGCGGGAAGACTGTCTGCCGGGAAAATTGTGATTTACTGTAAGTACTTTATTAACTTGAGTCAGCCAAACTTACAAATACTTCCTTTGGAAATGTAAAAGATGGAACAGGGATTGGCACCTAGGGGGTGGGTTTGTGCTTGCTTCCTCAACAGGGACGGGCTGGTAGTCTCTTGGACCACCCACAGATATGAGATGATTGCCCAGTATGCTAAATAACAGCTGGATCAGATTTCTTGTCCATTGGTACACCTACAGATTTGTATATTAAAGCAGTGCATAGCGCAAATTCTACATACAGAATAGGTGACCTATAAGAGCTGTCAATCAGATTTCAGTTCACTGTATTCACATCATTTGAGATGAT